TTCATTTTCCAGACAACAGTGTTTGCTGATTAGGGTCTTGGTGATTGAGCTTATTTAACAGAATTGAAAAATCCGTAAATTTTGTGTCAGCTTCATATTTTACAATTTTCGTACATACTAGTATATTGTTTGCTTTTTTACCTTGCTCGTAATGATAATGAAGTGGCTAGGTATAAAGGTTACAATGGCTGCCGTTGTGATCGTCATCGCTGGCGGGGCCGTCGCCGTTGTGATATAAAATACTATAAATGGTATTCTCTCACATTTGTGAAGCTATTTCATCAAAAGAGCATTATGTTTTTTGCTCGGTTACTTTAAGAAATCAAAAACATACTTAACAAAACATTATAATATAGTTAACTATACACAATTATATACATATATTCGCATTTCCTCACTGATCATTTATACAAAAAGTTTATTTTACGAAACAGTACATTATCGTTATATAATTACCACTGCCGTATGTAGTTCGAGAATACAATAATTTTATAACAATTTACAATTGGATTACCTTTCAACCCCATATACAATGCGTAAATATATCATTCCTTAGTCGGGCTAGCTATCAGGGGGAAATTCTTCTCCTCTGGGTAATAGCTTTAAAACAAACAAATATGTTCCTATTCAAAATGTCGGCAGTGGTTCACCGAGTGCCGTCAAAGGATGTGGCGGAATGTTTGTATTTATCTTCAAAGTTGTTAATAATATTTTTTTTATACACTACTATTGATGTACGGTATGTAAATTTGATCAAAGTAATCCCCCATGTAAACAAACCTTTTGAAGATGGGTATGGAACGTCTTGACTAAATATGCTGAAATATTTAGGAAACATGAATTGTCTACACTACCTCAGAGAATACGCAATAATATGGCCAGTAAATTTAAGTAGTGGGTAGGAGAAACGATGGTGCAATATTGATGGAATGTCATCGAGGATGGCGGCTAATTTACTAACGTACATCTATCAATTGTGGCACGAAACCTATGCTGCGAGCTGCGGGAGAAATAACGTATCTACCTCTATCTAAATCATGCTACTAACACATTTTCAATAAAAACAATTGTACTCGAACTTTGCTTTCTGAGTCGTTATTTTGCTTTTACTCATTTAATTGCCACCTAGTGTCTACACATGATAAAGTTGCTTTGTTTGCGTTGTTTTCATCAGTCTATTAAGCATAGCCCGGAGCAGGCGCCCCCTTCAGCCCGCAAAAAAAATTACAAATCAATTGACAAACCTAGCCGACGTCAATATAAGGCCCCCCCTATCGAATTACTTGATCCGCCAGTGGCATGGACTTGTCGGATGACCAGTTTACATTTGGTGGGTTAGGCAAAACAATAAGACTTGTTTCTGGTTCTGAGTTGTTTTATGAAATAATGTGGTGACCCACTTTTTTCATTGTTTTTCCTCAATGTTTACAATATATTTGACAGAAACCAGAAAAAAAAGCGTATGCAATGATAACAACAAATCATTGCATTGTTTTGGCCTTAGTGTGTAATTGTACACATTATGTGTAGTAGTTGCTTTACATTCTGCTGTCATCAGTATAATACGATTATCTTTAGTTGTCATGCTATCTAATCAATATTCATTAAATGTAATTCCAATCAAGCTATTTAATTATTGCTTCTAGGAATTTTGTTGATTCGGGGATTTATGGCATTAATTAGGATAAAATGTCTCTAAAGCGGTGTAATGACAATGACATTGATGGATGGATGTCAAGTGGGGTTGTCTCCATGACCACGCCCATAGCAACCAGTTACATCATTTGCCTTATTGGACTGCCATCTACAATGGTACACATATTAGCCATTGGAAAGAAAGGGTCATGTGACCGCATTTAATGTGTTTAAATATAACAATAAGAAAGCTATCACATATATAGTTATTCAACACAAAAGTACATTGAAAAATTGCAGTAACAGACTATTTTCCGTTCACTGCGAGATCCCGCATTATGCGTGAAATTGAACGTAAAACAGTGACAGTGACGTCAAAACAACTCGTGGGATTCGACAAGCGTAGTATTGAGGTGGGTGGGTATTTCCACGCTTAATAATGTGCTGTACACA